TGTCAATATGGACCAAAATCTCTGAGGAATGCTTCCAGCACCTTGTTGAATCTATGCCACGAAGAATTGAGGCAGTTCTGAAGGCAAAAGGGGGTCCAACTCGTTACTGGTGTGGTGTACCTAATAAAGTGGCCGGTGAGTGTACAATGAGAACACAATGAGAAGGTCAAACAGACCTCCCATTGCATAAATGTACTAAAGTGATGTTTCAGGTCACTGCTCTTCTTCTGACTGACGAACTCTAAACTGAAATCTTTAAATATACAGCAGTTCATTTATGTAAAAGACACACATGGCTACTTAAAKTGTATCTTACCCCCGACCCACCGTGAAAGGATAAATCCACCCCAAGGCGAAATTTAAAAAATGCCTACAGTGGACATTGCAGGAGAGAGGARGGGAGGTTGTGGGGGAGGAGGGAGGGTGAGCGAGGAAGTGTGGTCAGGACGAGAGAACTTGACAGCTAGCTTATTTTGACAAGCTAACATTTCTGTTCGTTCTAAACAAATTATGTTTTGTAAAAAGTAAAGTTTCATGACACACACAATGATTCACGACATATTTCATTTAAAATGATCAAGTCAGCTCAGTCTGGGACTGAATTGTGTTTTCTCCCTGAATCAGGACACGTAGCTCTTTACCGCAGCCTCAGCTGAGCTCTGTCCGCCTCACAGCACACCAGCTCCGGACAGAGGAGGTGGAGTGCCCCGACAGCCTGACAGAAAAAAATAAATAAATAAAACCTACGCTGCAGCTGCTCACAAGATCACTAGCTTAGATAAGGAATAAAAGTATTGGTCTTGTTTGACTGAAGTTTGGGTCCCCTTCAAGCTGTTTTGCATTTCACAATGAGGAGCTGATCGCGAACATGCAGCTGCCCTGCTTCGCTGTGCTCTGTGCCTTTTTTTCCCCTCCTCCCGTGTGTGTTGTACACACAGCGTTCTTGTTTACCTGTTTCTGCAGGACGCACAGCGGGCTGGGGTATGCATGTCTGTGTATATGAGAGAGAGACAGAGACAGAGAGAGAGAGAGAGCAGCGCAGCAGTCAGCTCCCCCCACCCGAAGCTGAGAGAGGCTGTAGGAGAGTCAACAGACCAGACGATCCTGCTATGCTAGCTGCTCCACCCTCTGACTGCTGCAGGGGCGTGTCTTAGAGAGAGGCTTTTATACCAGAACACAGCCGCTGTGACGAAACCGTGGAGAAGACGCGTCATCGTGGAGAG